TGTACTAATCATAGGTATGAAGGTTAAATTTACTCATGCAGCTCTTTTAGGGAAGCTGTGTAACTTAAGCTGTGGCCTGAGCATATCCAGGTTATCAAATCAGACCTACCGCTGCAGGTTTGCAATGTGGTCTAACAGCTCAATTTAAAACTGTCTGCAGAAAGACAGCTACGTATCTGAATTACTCTGCAATGAAAACAAACAACGTTTGTAACTACTGTAAGTCCCCGTTCCAGTGAAAAGTAAAACCAATATATCCACAGTTCATAGTGACACTGCTCTTCAGACACTTAACACCTACGTATTAAAAAAACAGGTAAGTTCTCATTGCTCCAATAAAACTCCTTCACTGCCTTAGGAAGCAGATGAGAATAGGTCTTAAAGGAAATCTAAAAAACCCCACCAAAACCACAGCATAGTATAGCCACAACCTAAAGTGACTTAATCTCATCTACCATTCTAGCAGAAGTAGGCAAAACAAGAAAGCTTCTTTCACAGAGAAGTATGACAGAATTCATCAGCAAACTCTGCACTTCACTCCCATGTGTGATCTCTGAGCAGAAGAAATCTCATACTAGATCTCTCATGAGCCTAGAGTGAGGTGTGATGAAACCAAAGACACTCACACTAGGAACTGCTAACAAACCGCCGCCAAGTTCAGGCTTACGGGTAACTTACGCTTTCCGCTCAAGGAAATGATCTAGTGTTATGAGGATGATTGTCTAAGAGTCCACACACACATCCACCTCCAGAGAAGCACCTGGCTCACTGGAATAAACTTTTCATAAAGCCAAGCTGTAGGCTTGGAGGGCAGGGGAGAGAAGGGAATAACACAGCATTCTCTCATTCCACAGGATCAAGGCGGCAAAGGCCAATACTTTACCTAAAGTATCTCAGCCTGTGACACCGAGGACAACCTGAAAGTAATCTACTCAGAGTCTGAAATAGCTGCAGTTCCCATGGGGCAAAAAAGCTCCAGAGATGTTCCTCATGGGTGCAAGCTCCAGACCGTTGACACGTAATTTGCTTTCTTTCAGCAGTCATAACCTCTGAGCTCCCAGATTGTTTAAGTAGGTACCTGAGCTTTATGGAAAGGTATCCAGCTGTACTTGTCTCAAAAGCCGAGGAGGCAAAGCCATGCCAACGCACCTAGTTAGTGGAACCTCAGCACATTTAGAGAACTTCCACAAGAGTGAGCTTGATAGAAACTGTTGCTATGTTGACACTAAAGGGACACACTTTGAGAAGTGCATCTGAAATCTGGAAATGGAAACCCATTTGCAAGACGAATTCTCGGAGTACAGAGCACACAAAATGGCCAAGGTAAGAACCTGTAAGGAGGAACGAATACCACTTAAGAGAAGTAATCAAACGTGGAAAAGATACAGTGCTCAACAGCAAGTTCAGTTTGAGTCTGATGAAACCGATCAGTTTCTGCGGAGCACTCTGAATTCACTGGTAGAGGCCTAGTGAGTTGAAGAGAACCACAACATTCCAAAGAGCAACAATGATCCTCTGAGATCCCAGTAACTAATTACATTTTTATGTAAGGAACAAGGAAGACTCAGTTGCTTTGTAGATAACCTGCCATTATACTTGGATCTTTGGCCAGTGCCCCTAGGATCATGAAAAGACTGAATAAGACGACCTTAAAACTAATCACAAAAGCTCACCCAAAGTAGCAAACATTGGGAAGATGCTCTTGTAGCCTAAGGACTGACGCAAGCAAGAGTCACCATTCTAATAGAGTTGGTGGATGTAGGTGTCCGATTTCCTTAAATCCCATGTTAGTAACTAACACATTTTCCACTTTGGTAGTGAAACACAGCTGTTGTTAAAGCCCTTTCTCTCCAAGATGGAAAGGAATGTCATTGACAGCCCACCAAAGCAGAGTTAAAGCTCTTGTTAGAGCAGGTATAGGAAAAAGATCTACAAAAAGCAATACTAAGCAGATGTGCATAGCAGAGTACTGCAGAGTATGCAATGGGATCGCAACCTCTAGTTTATCACTAGCATACAAATACATCTGAGATTAAATTGAACTCATGATTTGCAAAAGCAAACAGCAGACAGCAAGAGAGGGGCAATAAGTAGCAACTCCTGACCATATCCTTTAAAACAAACAAAAAAAAAAAAAGGAAAAAGAAAGAAGTGCGCTGCTTTGGAATCAAAGACTGGGCAAGCATTACTCAAACAGAGAAGAAAACTTGCATTTACCATGGCACTGCCTTTCATGAAGGGGTGGTCTAGTGATGAAAAGGATATCAGTGCTGAGCACAGAAGAAAGATCTTAATACTGCAAGAGTGAAAAGCGTAAAAATGGCTCTTTGCTTGGAAAAGTAGGAAAGTAACCAACAGAGCAGAGTATAACCAGAGAATCTACAAACTCGTAACATTCTTCCATCACTTACTGGTGACCATGTCAAACTTTAGAAGAGGCGATTCTCAACACACCGTTACTTTTCTCACAAACTCCTCGAAGGAGAAAGAAGTAATCTGCATGATTATAATCACAGCCACCAGTGCCCAGGCAGCTGTATGACAGTGGCATTTATAGTAACCTGATGGGAATTTCTAGTAGAAAGTCAAGCCTCTGCTGGCAGTCTTATGAAGATATCTGTAGAGTTAATTGAAAGATTGAGAAGTCTTTTCAGGTATTCCACATTTCACCCTGCATTCACACTTGACTTCATCAAGTGTTCTTCATTCATGTAAACTGTCAGAGGGCAGTTATGTGTTTTATTCTAAATTAAAAAATAACAATAATATATTTTATTAAATAGAAATGTGTTTTATTCTATAGCCCAAGAATGAGTATTTGTACCCTTTGGGGTGCTTTTGGGGTGCTCTATGCCTACAGCAGAGAAGCTGAAACAGTCAGGTGTTTCTCAGCAGGATCTCATACTTGTGATCAGCTTTCCTAATAGGGGTTTGTATACAGGGGTCTGCAAGCAGCACACATTTGTGTTTGAAGGCAGCCTGGTTCTCAGAGGCACCAGCAGAACATAAAGCAAGCTGTAGTTTCACTCACCCGATAACCTAACATATAGATCCTGAAACTGATCTCCCATGATGTTCAGAGGGTGTCTCCTACACCAGAAGGCTTCCTCCTGATAGTGCTATGCCCTGGGCACAATGACCTCCTTCCACTTGCTCTAGGCAGTTAAATTTAAGTGTTGCATCATTGCTTCAGTGCCATGTAACTGGGATATTTGGCATGTGTGAGCTGTCAGCTCTACGCCAGAATCGGGTACTGTTGGCATCAGGCTTAATTCCCTTTGCAGCCAACTCCCCCTATCTTGACCCAGTAGGACGAGGTGCTACTTTCTGCAAAGCAGAAAGGAATTGGGGGGCTAGGGGTGCAGGTGGCAGGGCACATAGAGATGGAAAGGAAATCTGAAGGGCAAGGACTACCTGTAAAGATGAACACTACTTTCCCTGTGGGCACCGCAGAACAAAAAATTCCAGAAAAAGGGAACCTCTCACTGCTGATCTCCTCACACAAAGTCATGCTGGTATTTCAGAGAACACAAAAATGAGTACAGACAGCCTTACTTTTGCTGGAGTTGAAAGTTATTTTTGCTATAAATTGTTGTAGTCAGCACTATTCGTCATGATGTTCTCTGGGCTTATAGGCTAAATTGCCCCATACTAACAGGCACTTTCTGTCTTAAGCAATACATTCCAGTACCATATTTGGAGCCCACATATCCATCAAGAGCAAAAGTATAGTAAAAGAGATAGAGGTAAAACCCAGCTTCAGAGACTTCATGAACTATAGGGAATAATTGGAACATACTGCAGGCAGCTAGAAATGCCATTTAGTCAGTACCTGGAAATACCAAAAGGAAACACCACAGGTTGAGAAAGTGAAAATAATTGTTAACGACTAAAAAAAGTTAAAAATAAAACCTGAAGGACAAGGTAAGGGCTGAAAACACTATTCACAAATAAAGGAAACTAACAAAAAGAGATACAACTTTTGACTGATCACCTGAGGGAGGCAAGGCAAGAGACCTCTTTCTCCACAGATATCTATGTTCAGATAAGGTGAGGAGATATGACCTTCTGCTTGACAGAGTTGAGACAGCATGACATCTTGCCAAAGACTAAGATACACTTCCAAGTGATAAGGATTCTTACCTCTTCTGCATAGGCTTTTCCAATCCCATCAGTAGCTCCTGTGACCACTGAAAAAGACAGACAGACATACATTAGTTGCTTTACAGAAATAACTGCAATGGGTGTTCATTAGCAAGCCATTAAAGTACTCATTCCAGCCAAGAGTCACATCAAAGTTTCTGCAATAGGTGTACAACCTATTAAATCTCTTGGGGAACTCACACTGAAATCTTTCCATATGTAAGAAAGGAGAGGAAGATAAGGAATTAGAGCCTAACAGTTACTTTAAGAATCACGTTCAGCACCCCTTCTCATGCTAGTCCTCTGGCCTACTACACTTCTTCAGAAGCCTTGCAGACTAAGAGAGATTTCTAAGTCACTTAACTAAAAAGAAAAGCTCAGTTATGACTATTAAACCAGCTCTCAACTTAGTTTTACATATACAGTAAAACAAAAAGTATCTTAAAGCCTGCAAGCATCCAATAAAACAAACATTTTAGGACATGGACAACACGTCTTTGTTAGTGACTCTCCAGTAGATTTCAGATCCCTGTGACCATTGTGCTTACCAGCAGCAGGTATGAGTGACTGATGCAGCCATCAGCTGCAAACTGGGCTTCTAGAGCTTAAACTTTTTCACCCATGGATGACTGGGATCTGTGTCAAGCCTCAAGTCTTTCTAGGATTCTTTTCCACATGCTGAGAAGCTCTGAGTGACTCAACATGCCATTAGTTTGACAGATTATTCCAGGGCTCTCACCACACCAGTGGCTGATCATCTCAGTTTACTCACTAAGTAGCAATTTCTCCATCCAGAATCTGCTTCTCCAACTACTTTTTAAGCAAGCACATTCAGCACCACTTCCTTTTTCTCTCAGCTCTTCCTTCTCATCAAATCCCATGCCTACACCTCAACATCCTTACTCATTTAGCTCTCCACTCATTAATATGTCTCTGCTCTCACTCTCCAGGTGGCTACAGAATATACTGGATTTTTCTGTTTGTCCTCATGTCAGATCAGAACAGCTTGGTATGTGCTTCCACTGCTTATCCCAGAACACAGGCATGCCCAAATAATTGGGCTTGTTTAACATTTCAGAAAACTGAACTGAGAGTGTTGGTTCAACTCTCAGGTCAACCTCTACCTGAGTGAAACTCAGAGCAGACAGAGGTGCTGTCGGGCACTGGGGTTCAGCAATAACTTCCCTTCAGGGCACCAGAAGGAGATGTGTTTGCATGTTTCTAAATTGGAGACACATGGATTTGACAGATGGACCATTCGGTGGATAAGAAATTGGCTGGATGGTCGCACTCAAAGAGTTGCGGTCAACAGCTCGATGTCCAAGTGGAGACCAGTGACAAGTGGCATTCCTCAGGGGCCAACGCTATTTAACATCTTTGTTGGCGACATGAACAGTGGGATTGAGTGCACCCTCAGCAAGTTTGCCGACACCACCAAGCTGTGTGGTGCAGTCGACACGCTGGAGGGAAGGGATGCCATCCAGAGGGACTTTGACAGGCTGGAGAGGTGGGCCCGTGCGAACCTCACGAGGTTCAACAAGGCGAAGCGCAGAGGTCCTGCACATGGGTCGGGGCAATCCCAAGCACAAATACAGGCTGGGCAGAAAATGGATTGAGAGCAGCCCTGAGAAGGACTTGGGGGTGTTGGTTGATGAGAAGCTCAACATGACCCAGCAATATGCGCCTGCAGCCTAGAAAGCCAGCCATATCCTGGGCTGCATCAGAAGAAGCATGATCAGCAGGTCGAGGGAGGTAATTCTCCCCCTCTACTCTGCTCTCATGAGGCCCAACCTGTGTTACTGTGTTCAGCTCTGGGGCCCCCAATATAAGAAGGACGTGGACCTGTTGGAGCAAGTCCAGAAGAGGGCCACAAAGATGATCAGAGGGCTGGAGCACCTCTCCTGTGAAGACAGGCTGAGAGAGTTTGGGTTGTTCAGCCTGGAGAAGAGAAGGCTCCGGGGAGACCTTATAGCCACCTTCCAGTACCTGAAGGGGGCCCTCAGAAAAGTTGGACATGGACTTTTTACAAGGGCATGTAGTGATAGGACAAGGGGTAATGGCTTTAAACCGAAAGAGGGTAGATTTAGAATAGATAAAAGGAAGAAATTCTTTACTGTGACGGTGGTGAGGCACTGGGAACAGGTTGCCCGGAGAAGTTGTGGATGCCCCATTCCCTAGAAGTATTCAAGGCCAGGTTGATGGGGCTTTGAGCAACATGGTCTAGAGGAAGGTGTCCCTGCCCATGGCGGGGGGGTTGGAACTAGATGATCTTTAAGGTCTCTTCCAACCCAGACCATTCTATGATTCTGTGATTTGATTAGTCACTGCTTGCAGATCACCCATAACAGTTAGCATGCAAACAGCAGCCAGAATATTTCTGTTTGAGTAATAACAGCTAGGAAATGCTGTAACCATTTCAGTTTCTGTGCCTGCTAGCTATAAATAAGTGGACATAATAACAAGTGATGAAGCCACCAGCAAAGGTCCTATTTGAGCTTCAATGGCCAGCCAACAGTGCAATAACAGGCTAAGAATGAAAGATCCAGTCATGCCCCTGACTCAGTGACTTAGAAGTGACCACAGATGAATGTATATGCACATACATTTATCCAGTCCCTGGTTTCAAGGTGTATTTGAAAGATGCCATAGCACCAGTGTGATAAGGATATGCAGGACTGTACCGTTAGCATACTAACACATACTGCACACACAGGATACTCTGGCTAGTAAATGGAGTTCTAACTGCTGCACTGTCAGCCCCAGTGAATTTTATGGAGAAAGCTTAAGTGTCTGTGTCACATCTTTTTGCCACCTCCTATCCAGCCACGATTAGGGAAGTGTGAGTAGCAGTTTTGTTATAGAAACAAATCCATATATAGAAAGGTCAAGCTAGGGTCCAAGTGACAAAAAAAGCAAACCTTGAGGAAGAAATCAAGAATACATTCCCAGGAGTCCACTTGCCTGCAACCAAACTTGTACCAATATTGTTATCCGTTTAGCAAGACAGCATTACAGTTCTGCAGGATGGCACCATCCCTTTAGTTCAAGGACTAACAAGTTCCAGTTTCATCCCTGCTGATCTTGCGTTTCACATTATGCATTATCACACAATTCATTATTACTTCAGCAAAACAATGAAACAAACAAGAGGACAGTGGAAACCTGTACCAGTACCACTCCCTGTTAGGCTTACAACAGTAGTTGGACATGTTCTGAGCTGACCCAATCTGGAAAACATTCAACTTCAGTGACTTGGTGAAAGGGGTTGTTTCCTTCGTTATAGTTAGTGAGGTACCTAAAGAACAGCCACTCCCTGTAACACTTACAGATCGTTTCTCCTCCTTCCAACTCAAAATTCACGGACTTAATGGTTTTATTCCCAGATAACAAGCTCAGCATTTTAAAATACTGTTTTCTGACACTGCGAGTTGTTCAGCTTCTAGCAACTACAGCTGAGAGTGCATGCTCCGTAAGGCACGGACTCCAAAGAGCATCTGTAGCACTTTAAAGGCCTAGTAAAGTGCAAGTACAATTTCAGTCAAGGATATTTACCTCATTTATTGCATCCATTGCTTAGGCAAATTGTAATAGAACCAGCTGGAGCATGAGACTTAAGAAGCTGAAGATCAGGGGTTGCTAACTGAAGTATGAGTAACGGGACGGCTCCTCCCTTTTTAGGCCCTACTTCAAATTAAAATAACCTGTAGTCCAGAGGTTAAAGTACCCTCCAGAACAGAACTTGAGAAATTTAAACAAATCTGATATAGATAAATGATGAAAAACATTACAAAATCCCACCAGGGAAAAACAAGTGCTTGAGCCTTCACCTTCATAAACAGGCACCTAGATGATACAAATTAGTGTTTTGCTTCTGCCGCAGGTAAAGGCATAGGCATCAGAATAAAGTATGCAGCTAGTTTTTCTTAGCAATAGGGGAAATCCTGTTTTCACAACAAGGCACTAATACCATAATTTTATTACTGGCTCCACTTTGAGAAGGATAACTGTCTCCTGCTCCATTCTCCCACACCATCTTGAAGAACACACACAGTACAAGAACTGCTTTATCATAGAATCATTAAGGTTAGAAAAGACCCTTAAGATCGAGTCCAACCGTTAACCCAGCACTGCCAA